AAAAAAATATATATATATATTTCAGTTTACTTGAAAATAATTGTTCATGCTCAGCTAACAAGTTTGCGTCCTTAACTTGTGAGTCCAAGAGTGAAGTTTGTGTGGATGCTGCTGGGAGGGCTTGTGCACAGATATCGTATAGCAAGGGGACCAGAAGTATTTTAATATGTATATTATGCGACTGACAAGTTATATGATGATTTATTGAATAAAATCATGTTTCCTATGTATAATTAGGGTCCAGGAAGAATGTCGAGCTGCCAAAGGTGAAATTGAAATTAGTTTATACACTGTTGAAAAGAAGAGAAAGCCTTCTCACACCTTACAACGGGTGAGTTAATTCACTAGAAAAGAGAACCTGGGAGTGAAGCAATTATGCGACTGACAAGTTATATGATGATTTATTGAATAAAATCATGTTTCCTATGTATAATTAGGGTCCAGGAAGAATGTCGAGCTGCCAAAGGTGAAATTGAAATTAGTTTATACACTGTTGAAAAGAAGAGAAAGCCTTCTCACACCTTACAACGGGTGAGTTAATTCACTAGAAAAGAGAACCTGGGAGTGAAGCAGTTCTGAGCACTGAGCAAAAGAAAGACAAACAAAAAACCCCAAACCGATTTTATTAAATGATTTAGAAGATCAATAGTACTAATTGTTTCTTTGGCTTTCTGTCTTCCTTCTGTAACTGTAATTTGTCTGTCTTTAATATGCAAATAGCAGTGGTAAATCTCTATCCTTGAGGCTTCAGTAAGGAAAAGAGCAGAGCCGCGGTGGGTGTTCAGTGTGACTTGTGGAATACTAGAGGTGCCACAGTTTTATAAGTAGCTACCTTTTATCTTATCCAGAGGCTGCAGGTATTTTTTAGAAAAGAATTATATTCCTCCATAACTTCCTTTCTAAAGACTGCTACTTTAAAAAGTGGAATTGATACTGATCCAAAAAACTACACCTGCACGTGCACTGAAATGAAGCCCAAGTGTGTAAAAAAATATATTTTCTAGTTCTAGATTTCCTAGTTGCCATTCGTAAATGTGATACAGTGTACAGTCACTTTAATGAGGCATTTTAAAACTCTGGAGCTCCTTATTGAATCTCTAATCTTTTCCTTTTGTCTCTCCTGTCCCATGAAAAAAGAACGATTACCAGCCAGGAAGTGGCAGGTCGTTGAGAAGAAACCAACGCAAACGCCAGCACGCCTACCAAACGCGCTCCACGATAGAGCACAGTCAGCAAGGAGCAAGTCAAAATGCACGAGCACGGGAGGACTCAGACAGCTCCTCAGAGGTCTGATACATCCAACGATTCTCTCCATAGCTTCCCTGTTCTTGAACAGCGTGGTTTGACAACAGATGTGCTGAGAGCACTGTTGCCATTAAGGCTCGGAGTTTCTCCACCGAGCAAGAAACACTCAAATCGTTGAGTCTTGTGGATTTGTGGTGTTGCTGTAGCGTGTTGATCTTGGAGAGAGAAGGATTGTTTACCTCAATGCCAGTACAGTATTCAAAACTAGCTTAAAACAGGTTGTGTATTTTTGGAAATCGGAAACATTTTCAAGTAAATTTAACTGGCTTGTGTTGAACCACTTGCTATTTTAGGATTTCACGCCACACATATATTCTAGGTCACGTTCAGTGCTTTGATTTCATCTAAATCTGTAGGCTGCTGTTGAAAGAGATGGAGTGTTGGTGTTAATCATTGATATGAGCAAAGGAAGAACTTAAAATACACCAGATTAAATATAACTTGTTCTCATTAAGGAAGCAGGAAAAGTAAAAAGGGAGTGAACACTGTCATTTGTAAATGCATTGAACATACAGAATAGCTATAAAGCTGGTCCCTTGACACAAAAATTTATTAATCAAACACTTCAATAAGAACTCATTCTGTGGTTCTAATACCATTCAAATTCACATCTTTCTATATAAATTACATATAGTATAATATTAATAAAGATATGGAAGAAATTGTGGACTTACTTTAAGCTAAAGCAGTCCTTAATACAAATCTTTCCTCAGCTGAGACAAGTCATACAACTTGCCTGCAAACAAAAACGATCCATTTTAAACTTGGCCCAAAAGTGAAACCTTTTGTTTCTAATGCAGGAAGACGAGACTGTTGGCACAAGCGATGCATCCATGGATGATCCTGTGGCAGCGTGGCAAAGCGAAAGCAGTTCCAGGTAGCTTTACTGCTCAGGAAGCATTTTATATTGTGGTTTTTTGTGTTTTGTTTTGGGTTTTTCTTTGCAAAGTCAAGAACACTTTTGAAAGAACATTTGCAAGAAAATACAGTCTTTAATGAAGAACTGCTGGAAAATATCAATGCCAGTTAGTCATATGCAATAGAAATATTGGGAGAAGTGCATGCATATCTTCCGTTCGTACTTCAGTATTTCCTAACTTTTCTGTTGTCGTTATGTATTCATGTACATTTTCTAAGGTTTCATATTCTTAATGTTATGCTTTTGTAGCTGGAAGGGCCATGAGCCAATATAAATACTGTATGTGTGGTTTTTGAGTATAAAGGAGTCAGAACTGTAATTTTAGAAGAGTGCTCTACCTTTCTAAATTTTTCATTCATTTTGTGCTGTCAGTTCTTACAAAGTCAGTCTATGAATCGGTGAGCTAGTTAGTGTTAAAATAGGTATCAGCCAGAACTGTTGTTTTACTGTGAGTTTGCAATTGATCAAATATTTTGCTGAAATACACAATTCGGATAGCACGTAGGTTTTCTTTACATTCTCATGAGAAGGAAATTTTCTGCTAATCCTGACATCTGTTCCACATAACCAGCAGAGCAGGTTGAATGTTTGGACCTTTCACTCCATTGTGTGAAAACCGAAGTGCTGTTTTCTTTCTTACGACTTTTTATTATCTGCAGTGATTCATCAAGTGAATATTCTGACTGGACAGCAGATGCTGGAATTAATCTCCAGCCTCCAAAGAGACAAACCAGGCAGGCAGCTCGGAAAATCTGTAGTAGTTCTGAAGATGAAAATATGAAGGGAACAAAAGGACTGGAGCCAAAACGAAGGAAACTTAAACAGCCTAGAAAAAAGGTCAGCATTTTTCGTCTTTGAGGGTCTTTTTGACCTTATGAACATACATTTTTTTCAGAGTGGTTGTTTTCAAAGTAAATTTTTTGACAAACAAATATACAATAAGAAAGATCCTGTTGATAGCACAGTAATTGTAATACCAGGGTAATTTTTTTTTTTTTTTTTTTGTGTTACGGTGGCATAGATGTACTTCCATTTCCACGTAGGTAGTTCTCCATTACAGGTGGGATGTTTTCTCCTGGATTTATGCTCTTCACTGCAGTTAGATTTACTCCAAGGTGGTTTTGTTGTAAAATTATAATGCATCTATTGTATCTACATTGTCAGGTTTCTGTTTCCTAGTATTTTTTAAAGAAGACATGTAGAATATTTCTAAGGAAAGAAATATAACCTCTTTATTTATGAACATTTTAATCTTATATTGTATTTATATATTCCCTACTATTTAGTTGAGGTTTTTGAAAGGTTGACATTCCAGCATTTGCTTTGCCCTTAGATCTAGTTATCTTCAGTAGCTGCTGTATGATCAGTTTTTCAAATGTTCTGCCATGGTAACTACAGCTTGCATTCTAAATTTAACGTCATGTATTTAAGAAACCCAGTGGGCTGCTTTCGATGGAAGGAGAACCCAGTGAAGAATGGCTTGCCCCGCAGTGGATCTTGGATACTATACCCCGCCGCTCGCCTTTTGTCCCGCAAATGGGAGATGAGGTAATGAGTGCAGCAATTCTGAAATTCCCACCGAGGCTGATGAGCTTGTTCTGGTCGGAACTATTATATCTTAAGTGTCACTTTGGGGGCTGATATAAATATTTTTAAGGAGAAGGTGCTTTATGATGAAATGAAGAAGTGTGCGTATGTTCTGAAAGGGATGATGCCTGGTGTGTTCGTAGAAATAAACACGAAAAGAACTATCAGTAAAATAAAATAAACTTTTTTTTTTTTAAATTTTCTTTTAAGATCATATATTTTAGACAAGGCCATGAAGCTTATGTGCGGGCAGTAAGGAAAGCAAAAATTTACAGCATTAACATGCAAAAACAACCGTGGAACAAAATGGAACTCAGGGTAAGTTAAATGCTTCAAAGAGCTGAATGTCTCTGTAGTGTTAAATGGACATTAAAGGCCAGCATTGAAAAATATGAAGAAAGCATTACTTTAAAATGTTAATATCAAAATTAAAGTTGTAAATTAGTGTTTTCATCAACACAATGCCTTTACATGTGTTCAGTTCCTGATAATAGGAAGCCAGAAGGATATTAAAGAATGTGAAAGTTTGTCTAGGGTGGTATTCTTGCCTGGTAGATTAAAAATGTAGAATATGAAATTGGAAAAAAATAAAAGAGTGACAATAGTTAAGCACTGGAACAGGTTGCCCAGAGAGAGCATGGGATCTCCATCCCTGAAGGCTTCTCAAAGCTCACCACAGCAAGCTCTGAGTGGCTTGATCTAACTTAGACATTAGTCCTGTGTAAGCAGGTTTTTGGAATTGATGATTCTCTAGGATCACTTTCAACCCAAATTATTTTGACTCTTTTTTTTCTTAACACTGATTCATGCAGAACCCACCACTCAAAAGCAGTTTATAGTTCTGTCGACACTCTACAATGACCTGAACTTCTAGGTTCTAGTTATTGTTTTAAGACATCATGGTGTAAAGACCTAAATGTGTGCACAAGCTCTGTTAATCACTGGATCTAGCTAAGCATATAATTGCGCATGTTCTTAAATTCTTGGAAGGGTGAGACAGTATCCTACAACATATTTTTACCAAATCAAAGCATTGTGGGTTGCCTGGGTAGATACTAGGTTTACATAGTTCTGTTGATTTTTCTTATCCTTTTGCTTTGAACCACTGAGTCCCTTAATTCACAGTGTTGCCATATTTTTTCTGCTTTGCTCAGGTTTTATATCACATGTATGTGCTAATATTCACATATGTGTGTGCCCATGGTTCTATAAAAAAATTGCTTTACTGGAAAAATATCCAGTTCCTAGTCCTAGGTATTCAGTGATTCCAGCTGTAATCTTCAAAGGCATCATCAGTTTGTAAGGAAAAGGAAATAGTATTTCAGTTAGGATAGAGATCTTAGCCACCTGCTGGTGTTTGACAGGATACGAACATAAAGGCTATTGTGGAATCTCTGCTTTAAGAGGAAGAGTTTCCTTTTATTTCCCCTGTATGGTGCTGGGCAAGGGTGAGAGGCCCTTGGCGCTGTTAGTGTGGTTAAAACCAGAGTGGGATGTTCCTTAGAACCTTATTACAAAAGTTAAATAATTTGCGGGTGTCCTGTTCGCAAATCTACCAAGGGAATGAGCATCTTATATCTTTTTCATTTTTCTTTTTAAGGTAATTGTGATTGATTTTTAGTATTTGGAAAGAAAAATCTTTTATTGATGAAATTACCTGGGCTGTGAAGTGGAAACGTATTTGGGTTTTATTAATACATTTGGTACTTTAACGTGGATGTTTTTGTTGTCAGCAAGATAAAATAATCCTGTTCCATGCTTATTGATAAATAGGAACAAGAATTTGTGAAGACTGTAGGAATTAAATATGAAGTTGGGCCTCCTACGCTCTGCTGCTTGAAGCTTGCATTCCTAGATCCAATCACAGGCAAAATGACAGGAGAATCATTTTCCATAAAGTAAGTAAACTTGAAAACAAAATGCCTGAAATTTTGTATGTGGAGACTGTCTGTATTGTACACGTGGAACTATATTTGTGGGTAATAGAAGCAATTTTTTGTCTATTTCATGAAGGTACCATGATATGCCAGATGTTATTGACTTCCTTGTGCTGCATCAGTTTTATAATGAAGCCAAAGAAAGGAACTGGCAAATAGGTGACTACTTTTTTTCCACTTCCATATGTTCTACAACACTTTTGCAGCTGTTTGCTGTTTAATAGGATACAGGGTCTCTATTATGGGATGTAAAGGACTATACCACACATGATATTCTAGAAATCACTGAAAACTTTATTTGATGTTTTCTACAATCCCTTGTAGCAGGAAAAAAAAAAAGAAGAGAAATGAGAGAAAGTGTTCCAAGGCCTGTGATAGCAGAAGAACGTCCTGTTATATTGTAATTTGAGGCGTGGAGGCAGCTGTCACTAATTAGCCAGAAATGTGAAAGTCCTCCCTTCAGGGGAAGGGCTTGATTGCTGTAGTGCAAAATGTAAGAATTGAGATAGTGCATTTATGAAAGATGAAGTTGATTCTCTAAAAAGAAGTATTTAACAGTGACTTATGTTGTTCTTTTGCTGAATGCTATCTTCTTCCTTATAGGGGATAGATTTCGCAGTATAATAGATGACGCTTGGTGGTTTGGAACTGTGGAGAGTCAGCAGCCTTTCCAGGCAGAATATCCCGATAGTTCCTTCCAGTGCTACTCTGTTCAGTAAGTATTTACGTAGCTGTAATGTGTCGCACATGTTTGCATGCTCTGGGTCTCCTGGATATTTTCGTGTATCTTAAATGTGTACCTCAAGAACTAGGGTCCTTTTTCCCATTTAAATACGTAATCAGCCACTTTGGTTTTATTTGTTGAATTATGAACTTATTCATAAAAGCAACGCTTTTAGTGTAAACAGCAGCGCAGTGAATATATAGGAGACACAAAACAAAAATAAGGAGTTGGAATGTAGCTAGTGACATGTCCTGTTTCTAATAGCATGACCTTTTTGTTTCAAGTCTGGTAGAGAAAAGGTGTGTTGTTATATTCAGCTCTGACTTATGCATTTGAATGTATTTCTTTTAATAGCTGGGACAACAATGAAAGAGAGAGGATGAGTCCGTGGGACATGGAACCAATTCCAGAAGGAAGTGAGTGTGTGTTGAATTCACATCCATATACAAACGAAATAGTTTTTTGCCGCTGCTAGTACTTACTGTTGTTGAATTCTCATATTTAGCAGCTTATCCGGAGGAGGTTGGTGCTGGAGTTCCTGTGACTCCAGACGAGCTGACAGCTCTTCTCTACAAACCCCAGGAAGGAGAATGGGGGGCCCATTCCAGAGATGAAGAATGTGAACGAGTAATCCGGGGGATTGAGCAACTTCTTTCCCTTGGTATGTTTGGAGAGAAAAGGTGGAAGGATTAAGAGTATCGGTGTGGGGGCACATGACTAAAGAGTAGATAGGATGGAGTGTTGGGAGCTGGTGTGGAGTTTTTGAAATGTGCTCAACTAAATCCCTGAAAAGAGCCTTTTGCATTTCATATGGTGTCCTTTTCAGTTTTACTCCCTTTTTTCTGGGGCTTGACCTGCTTTCTTTCAAGTTAATGCAGATTCTCAGTGGGTCATATCTAAATATGAGTGAGCCAAACATTGAATTAAACCCCTCAAAAAACATCCAACAAATCCTCACCAAACATCCTCCCCAGCAAATCTTGTAACTGGTTTGTAGCCATTTAATAGCACACTCTGATTTAAATTCTATCCTATATTTATACAGAGGACACGTCTGTATTCTTAGTTTATGTTGCTTGTTGTAGTATTCGTGTTGTAAGTGCATATGCCACGTTGCTTTTCAGCAACACGGTTGGCTGCTGACGTGCAAATCTGAGATGCAATACTTAACAAAAAATGCTTTTTCAAGAGTAGTTAACAGATGGTGCCAGAGGAAGAATCCTACCCTTTGGGTAATGACACAGCCAGCTGTATTGCTTTTGCTGAATTCTTAGAAAGAAAACTCATTATAAGGAGCCTAGTTGTCTTATAACTTTCCTTCTGGTAACTTATGAGGCATCTAAATTATTTTGTTTTGTCTTTCAGACATTTCTAATCCCTTTGCTGTTCCGGTGGACCTTAGTGCCTATCCCATGTATTGCACTGTTGTTGCGTATCCAACTGACCTCACCACGATCAGGAGGAGACTTGAAAACCGGTTTTATAGGTCAGTTGGATTTTTGTTTGTAATCTACATTTACTGTAGCCCCATTGAGGAGAATATGTTTAGCTGAATATTATGTAATGCCACTTCAGCAATAGATTTCTTTGATGAGCCAACAGCATAAGATCAGATTCTGTTTGCCCTCGGCAGAGTGAGTCTTGCTGAATAATAATTTATTTTGGCCGCATTGTTAAGGCAAAAGCTGGCATATCTGGATCTGGAGTGTCTTTTTTGTTCAACATACTGAGCCTTGCTCTCTGGATGCATTGTAGGCAGAGCATATTTGCTTCATCTGTCTCTCTGCTGCCATTGAACCAGATGCTTTGCTTGTACTGCAGTTACCAGAAGTGGGCTAAATACTGCTGTAAACTGGAAATCTCGTTTTTTTCCAGTTAACTTGGGGATAAATAATGTCCTGCTCCTTTTTTTCCTCTCTGAGGACCACTTTATCTCTAAGGCTGTCTCTCAGTGGGAGCAGTCAGCAGTCTTGTTCAGTAGGTTTGTTTCTTCTTTTCATTCCATTCATTGCTGATTTGAGGAAGGATGTCTTTTTTTCCACAAAGCTGTCGCAGCCTGGCACACTGGGGCAGTCAGCACTATGTGAACAGAAACCACTTAACTCTAGCAGCCTGGTTCTGGATCTGAATTACCTCATTCCTTTTTTTACTGAGGAATCCTGCTGAAAAGGAAAATAATGTCCGCCTTCCTCTCCATCCCTTTCCTTTTTGTTTTCTGTAGGAGAATCTCTGCACTCATGTGGGAGGTACGCTACATTGAACATAATGCCAGGACTTTCAATGAGCCAGACAGTCCTATCGTCAAAGCAGCCAAAATTGTAACAGATGTCTTACTTCGCTTCATCGGGTAGGCATGTTTTTTACTTTATAGACCTGACATCTTGAGTTTCTGAGATGTCTGATTAAGGATTTTGGCTTTTGTTGTTCTCCTGCAGGGATCAGAGTTGTACTGATATATTAGAAATATATAACAAGGTGAAAGCAGAAGACCTCAGCAGTACTGATGAAGAAGAGGAGGTAAGACCATTAAGTCTGATTGTCAGAACTTCTTGCCTTTTTAAATTCAGAACTTGGAAGAAATTTGAGCAAAGATTTTTGTTGAATTTTTATTTTATGGGTAGTTGCACTGAGTTTTTGCAGTGAGCCTACTTTGGCCATTTATCTTGCTCACCTGGAGCAATAAGCTCCCTTAAGAACGTAAAAATGATTCCCAGAACTACCTGTCTTTAATCTTCTCCCCGTGCGTGATGTTTTGTTGTGCGAGGAAGTATTAGTAAGTAGGGCAAATATGAACTGGAGCTGTTGCTCAGTCTGCCGAACCAGAAGGACAACAGCTCTCCCATTGCCAGCGAGGCAGCAGAGCTGGTTTTCTTACGCAATTCTGGGTCATTTCCCATCAGTTGTACCATGGAGCGAGATGTCAGCTGGAAACTGAGTTAGAGATCACTTCCTTTAACTTTTCTCTCTCCTTACACCTTCCCTTTAATGCAGTTTGTAAACGTTTTGAAATGTGCTGTAGTTTCTGTTGCAAAGAAATGACCTGTTGTAACCCAAGTCACTTGGTTTTGTTTTACATTTTCAGTGTTGCCTTCTAATACGTGAGCTAGTAAAAGATTTTGTTAGGAGGTTTCTTCCCTCCTCCCTTCCCCAAGACACACTGTATTGTTGCAGTTTTGAAATATTTAAGTTAAACCTGATGCTGCTTGAAGCCCTATATGCTTAGGGCTGGTGCTGTTGTCTTGGATTTGTATTGAACCTTAAAATCTATATTACAATGTAATAATTTAATTACTTCTATAAAACTGAAGATATAATAACAGCATCTATTTTTACAGACTATTAAAAAAGTATTTTGAAGAAAATGAGGGATTTCCAGGACTTAAATAGCAGACCCTCCTTTCCCAGCTCGACGTTCTTGTGCCAGTTGTGAATCTCATCTGTTCCATGTCAAGCAGTGATCAGAAGTGTCCAGAATTGCTACTATATTGCATTCCTTTCTCTGCAGCCTTCCAAAGAGCTGCTTTATAATATGTTTTGGTTTATAATATGTTTTAAAATAAGAAAGAAATTACTTTCAGATTCTTTGTAGGAACTTCCCTGTCCTCTTAAGATTATTTACTTTTGATCATGGTAGAAAGCTGTGTACAAAGGGGGTTTTGTTGTCATTTTGAAATCCAGATTCTGAGAAGAATATTACAGACACTTGGTGTAAGTAAGGCACTACAGGAAGCCTGAATAAACTCAGTACAGCTGCTCAGAGCACGAACAGCTAGGCAGGGGAATACAGCTCTGCAGAACTGGGACTTACTGAGGCTTAAGGACTGAAAATAAGCCTTTCACATTTCTCCCGTTTCCATATCATTTTTATGGAAGCAAAGGTGGAAAGGAGGTGAAACAGCTTATCCATCTTTTTTTTTTTTTTTTTTTAAGTTATGTAAGTTTCAGTTTGAAACTAGTTTCTCTTTTGCTTGAACCATCCATTGCATTTGGGTACTTTAAAGTTGTGTTTGTTGTTGTTGCTGGCGGGTTTTTAACCCTTTTTCCATTGCTGAGGGTGCATGCCTCATGCACGTGTGTAATCGTTACCTTTGCCTTTAGGTGGCAGAAGTAGATGTAGATTCAGATGCTCCAGGAACTTCCTCTGGAAAAAGACGAGTGAGTAAACGTTTCTGCCTGGTCTAGCTTGGGATGGGAGCTAGACCAGGTACTGAGACACTCATTTAGGTCTGGAATGGCTTAAATTCCTCATAGCCAATAGTCTGTAGGACTAAGTGTGGATTCAATCACATCCGTATGTAAGGTTGGTAGACTAAGGGAGTTACTGTGCAGGAAAATTTACTTAATTGCTGAAGAATCCTATTATTATTATTATTATCATTATCATTATTATTATTATTATTACTTGATTTGGAAGATACCTAGAACAGATTCAATTATCAGTGAAATTTGGTTGAAAGCTGGTAAAATAGCAAGGCTGGATCTGAAATATTGATACCTCTCGTGGGTTTGAGTGTTTATATCCTCCCAGAAAAGGTGTATTTGTGCAGTTTGCATACTGCATATTGTTGTGCCATCAGCTGTGCTTTAATCTTACTGCAATTCTGGTTTTAATTGTGGAAATCTGCTTTGAATCAGTACGCTGGTAAATTTATAGGAACTTAAAGTGGAACATTTGAATATTCAGAAAAAATGACAAAATACATCTGTATCCCTGCAGGTAAGACGACGAATAAAGCGACAGCCCATGAAAGCAAGTCCCGATGCTTGGAAAGAGCAATGCAAGCAGTTGTTAAACCTGATTTATGAAAGAGAGGACTCTGAGCCTTTTAGACAGCCAGTTGATCTCTTCTCCTATCCTGTAAGTACAACTACGATATTCAAAATTAAAAAAGCCAATTGTTCATCCCTTGGCAAAACATCCACGCTGGGCATGTTTCGAACCTCTCCCTTTATGAGCTGGAACGCACCGTGTTCTGTGCACTGAGGTTTTCAGAGAATTATCTGCAGTAATTCTCAAGTAGAAATAATTACTTGAGAGCCACAGTTGTGGATGAACACTTGGGTGTTTGTATTGCTGTAGGATTTAACAGCCCTTATTATTTTCTTGTGCATTCTTACAGGATTATCGAGATATTGTAGACACTCCAATGGACTTCAGCACTGTGAAAGAAACCTTGGAAGCAGGAAACTACACCAGTCCCTTGGAATTCTACAAAGATATTCGTCTAATATTCTGCAACTCTAAAGCTTACACTCCTAATAAAAAGTCTCGAGTAAGTAATAAATTTTAATGCCTTCATTACAAAAAAACAGGGCTCTATGTGAATACAGTGCAGGAAATAAGGGCTGTATCTGAAGAGCAAAGCACTGCGCTGTGAAATGCAAATAAGTGGTATATGTCAATACTGGGACCTATGGTTATTAATATGCTTTGTTCTGCTCATGCAAATCACTTCGGAATTGCATTTTCTGAACTTGAAGCTTCTGAGAAATTGTATGGTTACTGCTGCAACTATTTCTTTGAGTATTTGTAGCAGAAAACTGATCAGCAGTCACTTTTATTTCTTCAATAATTTATTCCTGGTAGCAAGGAATGTATACATACACAATAGTACCCAGAATTTAATATTACTGTAAAATTTTCACGTGGCACCTGACATGATGTGACACAGGCTTTTATTACGCCAGGCGCTGCCACGCAGGAGAAGGAGCAGAGTGTGCTGCCAAGAGCTTTCAGTGCCCGTGTAAACGGTGCTGGACGGGAGGAAGCAGGAGGTTGTGCGACCTTCCTCGTTGCTTGGGGAGGAATAGCCCTAGCTCAGCAGTGGAATAGCCATTCCTGTGTTTTCTGTAAGCAGGACGATGAGAGTAAGGTTGAAGTAGGATGATGCTGTGGGAGAGGAGAACTCCAGCTGAGCGTCAGTAAGTGTGAGAGAGAGTGCAAAGCTGCCGTCGCTGAAGGTGGATTGAGCTCCTGGTGTTGAATAAGAGCTGCAGATAAGCTCTCAAGATAAAGACCATTAATATTTGCTCACTTTAATAGAAAGGAAGTCAGCAGAGGATTGCAAGGAGACAGGTGATTTGAGGGGCTTTGTGTGCGCTTGACGTCAGAGTAAACGCGGTGAGTTATTTACTGCTGCACGCTCCCTGGGAACTTCCCGGTGTGTTAATAACTGAACACCTTGTGAGTCAACTCCCAAATTACTTTAATAGAGTGGCCCATCGGTATCCATTTGCTTAAATGCTGTGAAGTGCCTCCACAGGGTGATCCTTGCTGGAGGGCTGGGGCGCTCAGCTGGGCTCTCTGCCATGGCAGGTTCGCCTGCTGCCAAATGTGTGTGTCAATGTCCTGAGGTTTTCTAGCCCATCTATCATCTTGGCAACAGCATCCTGCATGGAGGCAAGAAGGGCAGGGTGCTGCATGCCAGAGCTGAAGAAAGAGACATTGCTCAAATGTGAGGGTCTGAGCAAAAGTGAAGTTATATGAATGTAAAGAAAAGTTCGTAGAGTTTTGTATTCAGACAGACTGCAGGAAATGGGAAGAGGTCTGAGTAAAAGATGATGATAACATCTTCTTGATGGTGTTTACACAGTTTTCAGAAGACTGGATGCAGCAGAAAGGTTTGAGTATGAGGAAGGAATCAAGAACTTTGTTTTATTTGTGCTGAGTTTGAACTATTAGTTTGTCATAAGTCAAAAACACATCCGAGGTAAAGTCTTGAACAGAAATAAACACAGCCTGAAGTATGGAGAAATAGCCAGGAGTGAGTTTGTGGGTGAGGGTACCCAGAGGCAAGGTCTAGGAAGAGGACAGGAAAATGGTTTAAGGTTGTTGACATCTGGTTTACAGAAATTAGGAATGAGGACCTTTTAGTAGGCTTCTGTGTGCAGCTCTGTAGGGGTGGGGGAAGGACTCGTCACCAGAGAATTAACGCAAAAAAACCAAAGGTGAGGGGGCAGTGAAGTTCCATTCTTTTCCCTTGGTGAAGTTATCTTATGGTGTGCTTCCGTGCTTTAGGGGGATTAAAGAAGGAGTCTGTATTTCACTAATCTAGATTTGTATTTTCCTTTAACTCTGTAAATATTTTGTACTGTAAGCATTTAAATCCTTTTATGAAAACACTTTCTGTTGCGAGAATACAGATTTACCATGCGAGGAAATTATCTGTGAGGAATGTCTTAGTTGAATGTCACCATGAATTTTTTTTTTATGCTACAAAGTCTGGGCATTTTTGATTTTTTTTTTTTTTTTCCCTCATCTTCTAGTTATTCATCTTCTAATAAGTATGACCATGCTTTCTCACTCCAGATTTACAGCATGACACTTCGACTATCTGCCTTATTTGAAAATCATATGAAAAACATCATCTCCGAGTACAAGTCAGCAATGCAATGTCAAAAGAGGAAAAGGCCACGGTACCGAAAACGGCTAAGAAGCAGTAGCAGTTCACCCTCAACTAGCAGAGCGTCTAGGTAACGTCATGATAGTGAAATTTGCTGTCAGTGTCATTTGAGACGACAGTGGCAGACGTGCCTTGGTGAATAAGCAGTCAGTAACAGTCTTGCTCATTTCCTGAGGCACTTGCTCTTTGGGGGGATAAAATCATGATCTCCAATGCCGTGCTCAATGCATAGTTTGTGCATAGTTCTGGCAAGTGAAAGACTATATGATTAGAAAATGGAAGAGCAAGTTTTTTTGTGCCTTTGTTCTTGAAAAAAGTGTTGCATAACCGTTTTCTGACTTCTTTATGATCCATTAAGTAAATGGAGTATTTGTTTTAGAAGGTGTGATAAAATCTTGTTCTTGCAAACTCATGTGCCTTTACCAAACAGAATGATGTTGTCACTATTTTTAGTATTACTACGCCTGTGCGAGCACTGGGAAGAGATCATTTCTGTTATGCATTTGCTGCAAAAATCAAGACACTTTGCACAGGAGAGTGGTTTTGTGTTTGAGTCTTTTGGTGCTAACAGTTTTTTCTCTTTGGGATATTTTGTGTCTTCAGCCCAAAAGGGAAACAGAAGCAAATGAAGATTCAACCTAAACCCAACCAGAATACCTCACTGCCTTTGACTAGGACTAGTTCTTCAGTTTCATCTCATGGTGAGGAGAAATTTTCTAAAATGCACCCTTTCTCTTGCAGCCACTTCTGTGTGCAGAATGACAAAAAAGCTGACGGATATTTAATGTCCAGTTTAAATCTTATGTTTATGAGACACATGCGAAAGCCACCTGGTGAAAGAGCAAGTAGCAAGGCCTTGTAAATACGTTGTGTGTAGATTGTGTTAGCTGAACTTGGCCCTGCAGCTGTTGGTGAGTGATTGGTGAGGGTCAGAGACCAGCGAACCTGGGTCTGTCCTTGGTAAGAATTAGTGCCGAGAGCCTGGGCTTCCTGTCTACGGGCTTCTCTCATACAGCGTTACGCATCCATTGAGCTTACTTTGGATTATACCCTGGAGGAATCTGTCTCTTCATGACCCCAGAGGCAGCTTGGTGAGATTAACCTCCTGACTTGGGCTGTTAACTCGGGTGATACAGAACTTCCCCCAAATGCCTTGCGTTACAGCCCGATAAATAGAGGATAAAAGTTACTCTGTCACGTTAGTGGTGTCCTGTCTGAAGTTTCAGATACAGCAGAAGAACCTCTGGGTTCAGCCACTGGTGAAGAGATGGAAGGCCAGCCATCTTCCTCAGGCTCCAACGCACAGAACCGAAGTGGAAATACCATTGATGCAGGGAAAGGTCGACCGATCAGGAGTAAATCTACACCAGTCAAACAAGGTGAGAAATAATCGGTGTTCTGTTCTTGGAATGACTGGTTGCACTGGAAATGAAAGATGTTGCTTCTTTTTGATGCTTACCATATTCTTGCCTGCGTCTAGCCTCCATCCCCAAAGTGTACTAAAGGAGTGAATTTACCGTACTTCTGTGGTCTCTGGTCTGAAGCATGGCATGCACATGATGCCACAAGCACTTCAGTGAAGTCCTTTAAAATTTCTCCCGATGGAAAAGCTTGATTGCTCTTAATTCTTGAGAATTACAGTTCCTTCAGGAGTTATAAGAAGGCAAACCAAACTAAAAGAATGCCAACCCCAAAATCTTGTCCTTTTATTAAGTTGAAACCAAAGATGAAAACAAGTTACAGATTTTTAGATATTTTTGTCATAATCCAGACTAAGCAGCTGTGATTAGAAGTGGAAACACTGTTCAAAAGCTTTGCTATTTTCTCTCTGGGACAAACTTTCCACTGAGACAGGCACCTAATGAGCATTGGCTGAAACCCTGAAGCCTTTATCAGGTCCTTACTCCTGTGCCGTAGCAGCGTTGTGTGTTGTAGGTGAGCTTTTCCTATCCCGTGTTAAATCTAACTTAATTTTTAGCATCAGATTCGTAACTCTGAACATATGCACTGTTTTGGTCCCATGCTGTCAAAATACTACATTTATGACTTAAGGTGTTCTGCCATCCTAGTGAGCAAATTATTTTAATGTATGTTTTTAGGTTTGAGGGTTTTTCTACCTTGGCACCCTCTAGTAGGATTCATCTGACTAACCAGTAGATGTGTGTGTCTAACCTGCTCACTCTGGGCTCCTCTTGTTGACTGGATCTTCGCTGAGCTCTTAGTCAAGACCGTTTGCAGTCCTTGTTTCCTGAACTGTGTTTACTTTGATAAATTTTCCCCTTAGAGCAGCTGTTTGTCTTCACAGCATGTAAAGGTCATCTGTGGTGAGTAGCTCGGAGCTGGATCATCCCCAGAGCGCACCTCAGACAAAGGCAGATGAGGCCGGTCCCACTTTTTGTATCCTGTTGGGCTCAGGCGTGATGATGATGATGATGACTGATAGGGTTATTTTGTGTTTGCTTAGATCACTCTCCTGATGGACCACTTACAAACGGCGATGGCAGAGAGCCTCGGACGGGAGTCAAGAGGAAGTTAATGAGTGCCTCGGAAGATGATGAGCGTCTGGAGGAGGCGGAGGAAGAGGAAAAGAAGAGAGAATTAAAGGAAAAATCTGGTTTATCTTCATCCGAAAGTGGGGAATCGGGATCCAGTTCCAGTTCGGAAAGCAGGAGTGGCTCTGATTCAGACTCGGAATCAACGTCTAGAACAGATCAGGATTACATTGATGGAGACCATGACTACAGCAAAGTTGTGCAATCCAAAAAACCCAAAAGAAAAATCAAAAGAAAAATCACCGCTGGGAAACGGAATTGGCAGGGCAGAGGGACAGGGAGGAGAGGTAGATGGGGCCGGTGGGGGAGATGGAGTAGAGGGGGAAGAGGCGGTAGAGGCGGAAGAGGCTGCGGCCGAGGAAGAGGTGGCGGCAGGGGAGGAAGACGAGGCCGAGGGGGCAGAGGAGCCTCGCGAGGAGCCACCAGAGCGAAACGTGCCCGGATTACAGATGATGAATTTGAAACTCTGTTTGGAGGACAATTTGGTGAAAATGTGTTTGGAGGGCGATTCAGTAGACCGCCTCGAATCAAAACAAGGAACGAGGGCAGGAGAACTGTCTTGTATAATGACGATTCAGATAATGACAATTTTGTGCACACCGAGGATCCTTTGAACCTTGGTACTTCCAGGTCAGGCAGGGTGCGGAAAATGACAGAAAAAGCCAGGGTCAGCCATCTCATGGGATGGAATTATTGACAGATGAAAAAAAAACTTTGGAACAATTTTAAAAGAACTTCAATGGCCTTCTACTGCAGGGATTTTACCAGAAAAATCTACCAAGCAAGTTGTGCGGGGACTCCACTCACGTTTCACAGTGGTGCTTTTCCATTCTGTCAGTTTGCGTTTGTTTTCAGACTTCAGATCGCCACACTTCATTGGTCAAAACAAGCCTTAGTCATTAGGCCTTAAATTACAGAAATTCTTCCCCACGCACTACAAGCTCATCCCATTAAAGAGGCTTCCAGCTTCTCAATAAGAACATGACATTTTGAGTCACGATTATGACTTCTCTCCCTTGTTTTTTTTTGTTTTTGTATTATAGAAATAGCACCTTCTTACCGAGTTTTTATGTGGTTTCTGCCATAAATCCTTATACACAGTAATAATTATACCTTTTGCACAATACACCAATCCTAAAGGCAGCTATAAAATGTTTACAGTTTCTATATTGTAAGAAGGATCTGGATTATTTTAATCTTCCCAGGCCAAACGTTCATGAATTGTGCTGAACTGAAGTATGTCTATACTACAGTTATGGGTCCTGATGTGCTTTCTATCGGTTCTTTATTCATGTACAAAGTGACAAAGGGTTGGTGCCTTGTAAATATGTAGCAAACCTTTGATGTGGTGTGTCCTATGTGTGCATTAACTTTATTAAAAAAGAGAATACTTGAGAAGTATGAATATCTAGACAAAAGGTGCCAAATGCAAAAGTTACTTGCATCTATTTTCTTTTTGTCCTCTCATATTTTTATAGTATTACTAGAGATTGTGCAGCTAAGGGGTAACTTCAACATTTGAAAGGTTCCTCCTCTTCAAAGCATAACGTCATTTTTAATTGTAGCTCAGCTACCTCTATCTACAACTACTGGAAACTTAAAAGAAAATAGATGCTGTTATTCAGTACGTGCTGAAGAAGAGGCAAGGAGGACCGTAGAGGGCTGGAATTGCTCGCGAAGTTGTAGAGTAACGATATCGTCGTTATATTGACACAGTGAAAACAGATCGAAGTCATTCTCAGAGTTTGCAGAAACATGGTGTTTTCAGCGGATGGTGATTTGTTTGTGCAGATAGGCCAGGTGTCTCCCACACGTTTCTGCTGCCGCTTGCTCGGTGCAAAGCCGTGTTTGGTTTGATTTGCCCCTGGAAGGGGAGGAGGGAGCTGAACGGAGCTCCGGTACCTCTGGAGCTCCTCTTCACATCCTCCAGACGGACTCTTGTATCTCAAGCTTCCAGAACAGAATTTGTGTTGCACTGTACTCTTGTTATCCTGAGAAATGCTGACTTGAAAACAGAAATCGTTTTGGTAGTAGTAGTAGTAGTACAGTATGTGATGCCGTTTGTAGTCTTGCTCCTCGGCGCACTGGAGCTGAGCAGCCTCTTACTGCCTAGGGTCTGGCTGGAATATATCTGGGACTTCAATTTTCTCCCGTTGGCTGAATGATTCTGACAGTTCTAGCTTGGTGAAGAGAGTGAGTTAGAGAGAACTGACGAAAAAAAAGAGACTAGAAAGTTTTGGTGGAATTTTTCAAGATTTTTTTTAAAACAAAACAAAACTTCCATCCAGTATCTTTAAGTTCTTCTGTGCACAGCTTGGTCAATAGTTCTGGAAAACCTCAGGCAGCAACGGGTGACCCATGTATATTCTCAGATGCAGAAGGAATTTAATTTTTGACTTTCTATATTAAGCACTAGCTATTTTATCTCGCTTTCCAAAAACTAGTTAGATGCAAAATGACTTGAAAAAAAAATGCAGACGTTTAGTTTTGTGATGGGGGAGAGTATATCCTAAATCGCTCAGAGCATTAATGAGTTTATGGTACAGTACAAAAAAAATCACACTTAATTTTTTAAGGAATGTTTTGAATCGTCCGTAATCCATTTTGGAACTTGATTCAGTTGTGTTTTGATGGGGGGGGGGGACGTGCAGAGCCTCTCCTAGTTCTGCATTGGCCTTTAAAATATTAACACCTGTCCTATCATCTCTCATCTCTATGTATATATATACACACTTATATATTTATAAGAAATGTATTATTTCTTTAACTGATCGGTCCTCCTACGTATGGTAACCAGGAATAGCATGTACGCATCCGTTCATAGTCCGAATCATACCCCTTTAGGTCCGTCCCGTCGAGCTGACGTAAACACTATGGTTTCTGTTCGAAAGCCTGAAAATCTTGAAATGCAAAAGAAATGCTTTTCCTATATTTCTGACTGGCCGAAGATCCACTTATTTATTTTGTGTAGGGGTTGGGGAGATAAAAACCATGTGGATTCCAGAGAAATCATTTTATAAGTTGGTGTATTTTAGCAGCGATTAGAATAATATGAAATATGTTCTTGAAATGTATCTTTTCTATGTAATGAAGTACTGTGAAGATAGCAGTGAAGCATCACTTTGCTGTGGCGTAAGTATTAATCAAACGTGTGACATGATTAAGAGCTAGACAGCAGGGTGTGCTAGAACAACAGAACTATTGCTTATTGTAAAAAAAGAAAAAAAAGAAAAAAAGCTTTTTTGTGCATGAGAACCTTTTATAAGCATGAAAGAAATAACTTGCTTTTAGAGATGTTATTTTTACTTGCTTTTGTACCTGGATTCTTTCTCTGAGTTAGGCAATCGATTTCCCGTAGCCTCATTCTGTCGAATGATTTTAGTTTCGGAGTGACTTGGACACTTTTCCTCAAAATCCAGATCCTATTAGGAGCCACTTATGGTTGCAGGAAAGTTCGTATCAACCCAAGGGGTGCAGCAGAAGCAGTAAAACGATTTAAACCTTGTGTTGTATGGGTCCCGGAGCCCAAACCCAAGTGTTCAGCCAGCGTCTCGCAGAGTTGCTAAGCTCCTGGCAGGCTGCAGAGGCAGAACCATAGTCTCGCTCTTGCACTTTTAACAAAAATCTCCAAAACTCTGCCCAAGAGAAGGGTTTGAAGGGCTGATTAGGTGTTTCCTGAAGGCTAACAAGGCATGTGGGCAGGTTCCTCTGCTGCTGTAGGGTTAGTTCTGGGGCATCGGTGCGCCAAGGTTTTCTCTGGATGTGCAATCTTGCACCATCCCTCTCCCGAGCTGCCAGGAGATGGGAGGGCATTCAGAGACCCCCTGGAAAATGGGGTCACACCCCGAGGGGCTTCTCGCAACAGAGCGTTGGTCCCCATTTCTTCCCAGATCAGCGCATGAATGGCACATCTGATTTTTCAGTCCTGAAGAGCCGTTGTCTCAGTTCACCCTAAACTTTGCCTGCATTTTATTTCCTCTTATTTCCTTTTGTTTTCTTCTTTGCCATCCTCTTTCTCAGCTTCCCTTTATTATTTAGGTTATTTATGATACTCTTTTTGAAACTTATGAAATCTTGCCGAATTTTATTTCCGCTAGACTCTAGGATTTAATTCTTTCTATCCCTTTTTTCCTCCCAATACTTTCTGTATTTTTTTTGCACCTGCCATACTTTGCTAGCATCATTCCCAGATTGCTGGAGGCAGCGTTAATGACGATGGAAGGGTCGGACGGGGCTGCACGCACCTGTCCTCGCCCTGCATCGGCGGCTGCGGGAGGCACAGCCCTACACCCGCCTACGTAAAACACCACTTAGTTCCACCTGCCATCCCTTCCCACATCTGCTCCGTGGCTTCTGAATTACTCCTTTTTTTTTTTCCCCCTTGTTATATGAATTGCAGTTAATGTAACCCTGGCAGAACTCACAAGAAGGTATTTCTGGTTTAAATAACCTGGGAAACTTTGATGTTGGTGCTTGAGCGTAGCTGGGGCTGGGCAGTTTTATCCCCCCTCTGTCTTCCCATCGCTCCTTTCTGTGTAAACTAAGCAGAATCCACCCCCTTATCCTGCTCACCCCCACCCTGCAGATAAACCAGCTCAAACAGAATAATGAAGAAATAATTTGTGGAGGATTTTTGGCTGCTTAAAATTTTGCGTCCTTGTTGTGTATTTTAATTTTTTCCACCATTTTTTCTTAAATGTACCCCTGTGCTGCTTCTGCAGGAAAGCAGGAAGGCTGGGTAGTTCCTAAAGCACTGAAAAGAGCTGGCTCTGGGTAGTAAAGAGAGTTGTCAAGTAATTTTAAAATATGTGGAAAGACCAACTGCAGTGTATTGCTTGTGACAATGTTTGGAGGCTCTCTCGACCGCAAAAGGCGAGATGAACCTTGGCAAGCGTTTGAAAAGGCGGCTCCTGGGTGTCTCAGCCCTTCAAAATCGGGCGGTATTAACCCAAGGAAGTAAGGTGAAATCACTGATTTTTTGATAAGACCTTGATTAATATTTCACCTTGAATCTGAGCGGTGGATGACAGGGAAAACGAATAGCTGGAGGTTTAAGGAGCCTGACGTGGAGTGTCCTGTTATCATTAGTCTGTGTCATGAATCCAACGTTTTAAAAACATATTTGTGTGTTTACATTTCTTGATCATTTGTTTTTTAAAAACCATCATTCAAATTTTTTATAAAATGCTAATTATTTACACGATAGACTGAAGGAGCAGTTAACAATCCAAGGATAAACCTATACTTAGTATCGTAGGGAGCTGTCATTGTGTTCTTACCCGTATGTATTATAGAAAATTACCGCGCATGTGCGATAGATCAGTTTCAAATATTAGTATATCAGAGGTTTACACATTGAAAAGAAAAAAAAACCCAACTCCTATATGTACAGTAAGTAACAGCCTGCAAAATTTAGTCTAAAAGTTGTCTTTTTTAGTATTAGAAAAATGCAAAGACCTGTCGGAAGCTTGTACATTTTTAATATGTCCTCTTCAGCCCACAGCAAACTTACCCAACTGTGCTACGAATCCCTGAAAAAATAGATTTCCAGTGGAATTGCTGTCACAGCCTTAACTCTAGTGTTTTAACAATGGTGCTTAAATACATTGATGTGCGTGGATGTGGGTACCTGGTGAGAGTTTGGGAGAATTTGCAGTAAAACCGAGCAGCTTCGCGCTGCGCTCGCACGTGTATACTCCTGGTGGGTAACCGCAGCCACCTTTGGGAGTTGACAAATGTGTAAATATTTGGAAAATATTTAAGCTGGTAGACAATTAAGAGCAGTTTCTCGGTTTTTGGTCCTGCCTGAGTATTTGCAGGAGGGGCCGGTGTTCCCGCCTGCCTCGCGGGCAGATAAAATAAAAATCTTCTGTGTCTCTTCCTAAGAATGCCTCCGGAGAGTGGTGGCTGCTCGGATACATTCAGCAATCCAAGTCTGGTGATTATTTTTCTGTAGAAATACTAACGTAGGCTATTCGTTCTGCCGCGAGTCATTCTAGCAAACTTCATTTAGAAATCCCAGTTGATGTTGGAGCGATGGATTCACATGATTTAGGCTCTCCAGTTCGTGTTCTGGATCATTTAAAATACTCCAAAAATGCACAAAACTATTAGAATTATGTCTACTTTCTATATTGATTTTTTTTTTTTCAGGTGATATTTATGCCCATATCTTCACATCCGCTATCTCAGGTCCCTTTAAATGAATACTTCAGGGATTTTGATGCCACTTGTTGGCAGACCAAATGTAATATTTATATGCAATGAGCTGTTAGTTTTTGTATTGTACAAATGTAAATTTGTAAAGATTTTTTTTCTAGAGGTTTTTTGAAGTCACTTATGTAATCTAGGATGTTTCATTTTCCAGCTGTGGGATTGTCTTAATAAAAAAAAAAAAAAATCAACTCTCACTTTGGTTTTGCCTTACTTACTGAATAGTTTAGACATTAAAAAGACCAAAAAAAAATATTAAAATTGAGTTTTCAATGTAAGAAGAAAATCAGGTTTTGATTCATCTGGATAATTCTATAGTTATAAAAAAGGAGACTTGCAAGTGGATAAATGGGACTGTCACCCGGCTGTGTTCCGCACACATGCTG